ATAAAACGACAACGGCTGGCGACAAAACCGGAAAACTCTACGAAAAAAGAAATCCGGGGATGAAAAGCGAATGGAAGTAGACAGCCGCTTCTAAATGCGGCCCCGAAGTAAGGGCCTTGGCGACCGTCCCGTCCACAACGGTTAATGCAGGGTGTTCTAAAGCAGTGAGTAGCGCCCAGTCAGACTTTGAATTAGATTAACCCAACACAGGCAGTTTTATCGAGTCAATCATTGAAACTACAGACCATTATTTACCGCCGTCCATACCAGCGGCTTCTCCCAAGTCTGTCAAAATGGGATTCGGCCGACAAAGCCGCGAAAGAACACCTGCACCGCCATCACCGGCTTATATCCCCAGAGCGCTACACCCCTAGAGGAGCAACGTACCAACTGAAAATACGAACGGAATCGTCAGAGACCTACGTATAATTATTCAAACACCAACTCTCCCATGATGGGGGTTTCGGACGATCTAACACTCTTCCAAGATCTGTCTAACAATATTTTGGAACCCAATGAGGCAGTTGAAGTGCTCAAAGTCTTCCGTCTCGGAAAACAGGCAAATAGTCGGTCAGTGAACCGGTCCCGACTTCTCAAAGTTGTGCTGGCATGGAAGGAAGAAACCAGACTGATCCCCTCTAACCGCTTCACGATAAAGGCTCCAACCTGGCCGAAACGTCGTCTTCTAGTTCTAGAACTGAGAAAGAGTCTCTGTGACGGAGAACGCAATTTACTTATCTACGACAACTAACTCAAACAGCGCATACTATTATTCCTTTGGACGTATGCGATCCGGATGATCGCGCAGCTGATAGGATAGGCGAAGTTTCGAGCCAAATCGAAACCACCTCTCCAGCGGCCATAAATAGCAAATTCATACTGATATACATCAATGTGCAGAGCATGTTATCAAAATTCGGCGAGCTAAAGACCCATCTTTCAGTTTATAATGAGACATTTGCGCTGAAGTGTCGTGGGATGAAATCCCCGGTTTCGGTCTTACTCTCACTTCTCTCACTCGTGAACCAGTTGTTCATCCGAGTCGGTCATTAAAGTGATGCTGCGATTGAGTGCAGTGGCTGGCAGCGATAAAAGAGCTCGTCCGCGCCTGCCACATGTAACCTGTTTCCTCAGACAGCGCACCAAGTTTTCGCAAAATGGGAGTGGGTTGCCTGAGTCCCATATGTATTAGAGAACCATAGATGCACATGGAGAAGGAGCCGAAAAACACGCTTCTCATTTGACGAAGAGAATGTGTTTAGTGCCTGTTGGACGGATTCGCGTTTAATGCGCTAAACTGGCAGGGTGATGTGTGGTGGTGATTGGGTTTGTTCTGTGGTGGTTTACGGCAAGTTTGTATGGAGGCGCATGTAGTCGAGTGGCCCTATGCGATAATTGAATATGCGTAATCAGTGAAGACAACCGAGACGAGGGCGACAAGTGTGTTATGCTGCTCTCGGGCGATGGGTTCGCAATAGTCGGTGAAAACGAGTCTTTGTCGGAAAAAACTGAAACTTTACTTTGGTCTTGAAAATCAGCAGAAGCACACCAACCAGCCCAAATAAAGCTTGCTCAAAGGAGGATGCGCATTTGTCCACAAGATTACAGAACTCGTCCAACACTTTACATTTAAAATATGCACTTCACAATCTTAGCTGACACATGCGGGTCTCGTAACAGATGGAGGTTTTTAACAAAGTATTCAGTCAAGCTCGCATAAGCAATTTTTTCCAGTCAAAAAAAGCAGAAGGACGCACAACAACGTGGCGACAATAACACAATTCCTGCAAGCCCAAACGACTCAGTCTGAGTTCAGAGGAGGATCACAGCGGGCACAAAGCTGAACCTCACGCAAACATCCCCCTTGTGGCTACTGCATCCCTGAAAACAAGAGCGGAAACGAAATCCCCGCAGTTTATGCAATAAGCGGGGAACTAGATGTCAAATATGTTGACTACACTGGCAGGGAACTTATAACCTTAGTAAAATGTAAGACAGTAACCTTTCCCATACAAATGAGGGGGGAAGGGCTCAAGAACCTAGCAGAACTGATTATTAGACCCAGGTAATTAATCGTACGTCGCGCAGAACCAAGAGGAAGATAACGCAGATTATAATAGGTTTATCTGACTAGTAAAAAGTACGGTGTTGAATATGAGGTAAGTCGCATTGCGGACGACACTGCTGATGTAGAATCCGTCGCAAAAACTTGTGTCTGCAGTCCCACTTCGTTTTACACTGTTAAGAGTAGGCATCATAATGTATTCTGATGACCAGTTTTAGCAAGGAAGGCCTCAAAGGGGGCTCGGCCAGGCTGCGGATTCCTATACATTTCGTCCCTAGCGTGGTCGTTAACCGCAGCTTCTTTTGGCTTTTACCGTTTTCACCGTCTAATTGTTACTTCTTTGTACGCTGGCCTGCACAAACCAATAAACGAACAGGGTTTGAACCAGTTAGATAAGACCTGTTATCTGGGTGCGAAGAACAGCCTTCTGAAAATTATGACAAAGGCCTACGGGCTTCGAACAATTCTGAGACGACGACTCGGCAGTCAGCTTGCTTTTGACAGAAAATTTATCGATCAGATGTGGTCATGCAGCCCACCTGAAGTGACCAAACCCCAGCCACATGTAATACAGGACGGGAGGTAATAGGAGTTTTTACAGTTGGGGCCGGGGAACGCACAGGCAACGAGGTCCAGCAGTTGTATGCAAAAGAAAAGCTATTGGGGATGCGCGGTTGTACTTTGATTGGTTGAGAAATTGTTGCCCTAAACCCTAACCCTAACTCTAACCTCCAATCCTAACCCCTAACTCTAATCCCTAACCCTAACCCCTGATCCCAACCCCAACGGTATTGTGTACATCAAGTTGAGCTACATAACCACATCTTACAATCAGACCTGAACAATTATGTATATACATATATACAACTCCTGGCTAGATCGCAGTTGGTAGCCAGGACCCGTATTACAGGTGGCTGGGGGGGGGGGGGGGTTGTTTACTGGGGCTATTTTGTGGGGCTCAATAATCACATCTGACCCATTTGTCTTCTGTTTTACGTCTGAGGTTACGATTAGGGTACCGGTTAATGGTTTCCGATTTTCGGGTTAGGGTTATGACTTTAGGCTTAGGTTTTCGGGTTACAATTAGAGTTTGAGCGTACGGTTACGATTTCGGTTAAGGTCAGGGTTGCCGTTAGGGTTAACGGTTAACGTTTAAGGTTGGGCTTGATCTAGCCCGACTCCCTTTTCGGAAAGGTCTCATATTTGGGTGCTGAGCGGAGTTCCATGTGTTCCACATAACTAAATTTCATGAGGTTTTCAGCTCCAAATATCACATCGCTTTCAGAATTCCCTACGGATACTGAGGAAGAGAAGTCGAGTTCATGTCTTGCGTTTCGGCAACTTGCTCGTTTCCATCCTCAGAGCGGTGCGGTGACTGTTCCTTTTGGTTATGTCTCGTCGAACCTTGCCACATGCTTCATATTACAACCATGCTTAATTCACGAACGTTGATCTGACCGTTTACTTCGACGATAAAATACCCCAAACTAACAAAACTTTGCATAATTATGGTTAACATAATTGCGTGGGTGTCCCTAAGAACTTGGCATTGCACCGCTTTTACATTATTCCAACCACAAAGTTCCCTCATCATGATGGCGCGAAGTGTTTTCGACAAAATCCACTCAGCGATGTTACCCAACTAAACAGTTAAGAAGTCAAGTCCAGAAAACATACGCTTTTGGTTATTCATCATCAAGCCTTTACAGTAACGTAGGGGAGAGCAGAGTAGTAAAAGCTAAGCAGCCGATAAAAGTAAGATGAGATATGGACGTCCAGACGTCACGGACCAGACCTCTTCGACGTGCATATACGCCTTCACTTGTTCCTATGGGGCAAGGTATATTGGTCGAACAACTAGGCGTCTATCCAAGCGGGTGCCAGAGCACCATCCTGCCTGGCTATATCAAGGTGTGGATAAGCCCATCTCTGGCGCAATTTTGGCTCACCTGGTTGACAGCGGCCACCAGGTAGAAATCAACCAAGCATTCCGAGCCATCTATGAAGGGCCGACGAGACACTCCAAGTTTCTGTGTTAGCTGATATTTGCAACGGCAGAGGCAGTGGTCATATGGTTAGTCAACCCAACCTTGTGCTCGCATAAAGCTTTCGTGAAAGCGCTAAGGGTCCTCAGGGCGAAGACGAACCCCGAATGTGTTCACACCTCCTGCCAAGTCTAGTAACAGTGACGAAACAAAGACCTAGCTAACTGTCATACCCCTCCTCCTCCGCTCCCTAGGCCCCCGACGGAACCAGACTCTGACCCCTGACCTCTGAACGCCCCCATCTCCCTACTCTATACTTACTTTTATTGGTTGATTAGCTTTTACTACTCTACCCTCCCTTATATTACTGTGCAGGCCTGCTTATGTGTAGTAGAAGGCATACGTTTGCCGAACTTGACTTTTTAAAATCCAGTCTATTTCGCTGTATCATCTGGAGTGTTATCTACGCTATCGGAAATGGGCTCCATGTCAATGAATACCTTGGACAACCCACCTTTTTCAGGCTCACAAGTGAGCAGAATTTCAACTCCTATGGTGGGCGGGCAAAGCTTGCCGGATATGCGATGCTGAGTCTATCTGAATAAACTATATCTTTGGGCGAAATTCAGAAGAGTCAAACCGTTCTTTTTCGCGGATCACTAGACGGGATGAAGAAATAATGTTGGCGTAGACCAGCTGTCAGAATGACGAACGTTAGCATGTTTTCCTGTCTGGAAAAATGATGTAAATCATTGAGACGGCATTGTCCAAACTGCTGTTCTGCAGGATTGCGTAACCTCACGAGCGAATACCTTTCAGGTCCAAGAATTTGTTCAAGTATTCATAAAATAAGTTCGCTGTTTTGTCAATGCTTCCAATAACTCATTGGTAAGGGCACCCGACTTAGCGCACTAGAGACTAGTTCTGGGACGACTTCTATAATTTGGCATTCAGAGTCCGAAAAGTTCGGTACCTACGCTTGGGACAACTCCTCTCCACCCCTCCTCCTCCTCCTCCTCCTCCTCCTCCTCATCATCATCATCATCATCACCATCATCATCATCATCATCATCATCATCATCATCATCATCATCATCATCATCATCATCATCATCATCATCATCATCATCATCATCATCATCATCATCATCATCATCATCATCATCATCATCAGCAGCAGCAGCAGCAGCAGCAGCAGCAGTAGCAGCAGCAGCATCATTATCATCAAAGGATCGGTTGCTAAGGACCGCAAAGGAAATGTTAGACAGGACTTAATTCCACGTACTCCAATGGTAGAAGGGCGCTCACCGATCGTTCTTACGGAACTCACTCATCCCGTTGTGCCTTACGGACTCTCTCTCGAGCCCAACTAGCAGCCGCACAGCGGCGCATGATGTAGACAGAATAGCATTACCGACAAAGACGAGGGCGACTAAAGTGACCATTTCTGGCGTATTGGCCGTCACCAGCCAGTCATACCCAACCCCGAAGTGTCGAACACCCGAGGTTCGAACTCGCGACCTGTTAATTAGAAGTCCACGCCTCTAACCACTGGGCCACGAGCTGACGACGGCTAATAAGCCAGAAATGGCCACTCCAGTCTCCCTTGTCTTTGTCGATTATGCTATTCCAGTTATACTTGTATTTGCGCATGAGTCAATAGTACGCACAGTCACTGGCCGCGCACGCTAGTTGAGTTAACACACCATCCTGTACAGAATAAACGCCTCCAACCAGGGTTCTTCCCATTGTCAGCGGGGCTTGGCCCCTATCGTGGTTGTTGGGATATACTCATTAGCCTCGGCATAACACGCACAAATCCCACAGATCACAAAACCAGGACTCAAGTTCAGGAATAAGAATAGTTTATTGTAATACCTTATCAAACGGCACGGAAGTGCTTGACCCCACAACGCCTACTTTTCGTTCACGATAACGTGTGAGCTTCCATGAAAAAGTACATGACAAAGCGCCGGACATAATCAAAAGTAACAGCCAAAGTGCAAAGAATTTGTACGCAACTGTGCTTTTGCCTAGACATAGTGTCCACTGCTCGACTGCCTATAGAGTTTGGCCACATTACACTTGCAGCAAGGCGTGAATCGTAAAAAAACAGTATGCTTGAATAAATAACAGGCGCGCTGAAAGACAGCCGAGGTGCAACCATACTCAAACGTCAATCACGCAGACTGAAAAATGTTTAGAGAGAAATATGGGAACGGTTTATTGTAAGAAAGCCTGGCGCAAGATGTGAAAAGGAGAGAGTAAACAGAGGAAGTGCAGCACGCTGCAGTCGGGAGTAAATGAATTCATACAGAAACTGCTGGTGTTGAAAGAGTTGGGAGTCAAGACTGAAGACCTGCAAGAAAATGACACTCAGCTTCAAAACACTGATGAATCGATTATTTTGGTAGTCTGTCATACCATATTCGACTAGACATTAGATGAGGATTGTGAGTTGAGAGCGCAGGTGTTCAGCTTGAATTTCAGGGTATTTACACGAAGAATTGGTGAAGGTCGAAGAAAATGCAGCATCGTTTAGGAGGCCCCATCTCCATCTGAGCTGGTTAAAACTACCTGGACAGTATGAAATAATTAGCAGTTTAATGGGTTTTAATATTTTCCCCCAAAACCTTTGCAAACAATGAGTACTTGAAGGCTGGAACCCTAAGCAAGCACCAAATGCTGCGTTTCGCCCCTAGTTGTACACCTCCAGACCTTTGCCTCAACATTCTTCAACCCAGTGGAACCTCTACACAACTTGCTTAACAAACTCCGTGGCAGCCTGCAAGATGTGTAAGAACTGCGATACACCATTTTATGTATTTAAATATCTGGCAGTCGGCAAGTCAGTTCTATACTGACTACATTTATGTTTAACCATTCATTCAAATGAAGATCCGGGAATGATTTTGTAATTTTTTGTCTTAATTTAAGCATAGAAAATCCTGGGTGCGATAGTAGGCGAATGTTCCTCCAGTCACGAGAATTGTTTTAAAAGAGGAATCACGTACTTTGCGTTTCATTCCTTGAACTAATTAAAAACTGTTCTAAAAAGTTGTATGCTATGTTCCGTAAAGCAGATGTTCGGGTCCACCTAATCTTCAGAAGTGGCTGAGGATACTGCCTTGTACAAATAGATGCTAACATCTCATTGCCCATTAGGGACGGGTAAAGTGATGTATGAATAGGCTGCCCTGTCTCCCTCCTCTCCGGGCAGACGGCGCTTTGGAAGACATTATTGGTCAGGACCCAATACAACATAAATACATGCAAAAAGCTCACCGGACCAAAAAGAGGAGGTCGATCCCCATAAATTGTTATTTGAGACCAAGTCTCGCAGATAGGCTACCAACCCAAAACCGCTGCTTCCAGGACGTGAACTGAAGTTAAAAACCCCGCTGTGATGCGCACTTTTAACGAATCACTTCGGTTAGTACGTCCTCTAAAGATTTTGACTACAGTTTCTTAACGACTAGTAGGACAGGAGAACTTGAATAAAGGACATGAGATCGATCGAGCCATATCTGTGTAAACATGTTTTAGGAAGTGTGAGCTACCTACTGAAAGACTGGCAAACAGAATAGAGCGTGATAGTGCTGAGATCGATTAACTTTCAATTGCCTGATAAATGAATGCAGTACACACGGCGCAGAGCAGCAGTTGGAAATCTGCCGTGTCGCTCAACTTCCACGGACCTAGTTTATGGTCATAGGTATCAGGAGGAGTGCGAGTATCCAGGAGAAGTTGAGAAAAAGCATAAAATGGTTGTGCAAAACCACAGTTGTATAGTTGAGTTCAACGGAAACGAGCCATTCTGCGTAATAGATATCACCATGCAATAAAAGGAAAGAGTGTAGGCGGTTTCAAAGGAAACCTGGAAGGCAAAATTTGCTCATTAACATCGACGCTGGGGTGCACACCTTAACCGGAGTTCTCAATCAAGCATCAATGAATAAAAGGATACAATTGCTCCACACTAAACAGTCTGACAGCAGGTTCATGTCCAGTAAAGCGTACTGTGCGAAGCCACGCCGAAGTCGTCAGAAAACTAGTCCTGTCATATGTAGTTTTTGTTGTATTTTGAAGTCTGTGAATCTTGTAGTCGCTTAAGTTATCTTAGCTGCTGGCCTACATTCGGCGACCTTCCCCTGCTAAAACATGAACACAGATTGGTGTGCTTGTGGGTTATCTCAAGGACTACTAACGTCCCGGACATAGAAGGCTACGGCTTCTGGAGACTTCTATGAGTCGTCAACAGGTTGGACGAAAGTAACAATATACGGTGCTTCAATCAGACCTCATGAAAACCTATTGTTTATACACAAGAAAAGTAGCTAAAGATAGTTTTTCCGAAGTATTAAAACAGTCACTCTTTAGAATTTACGACATCGTCCATATAGCGCAAATTAATACGTGTTGGAAAAATATTGACAAGTACGACGAAATACTAAGAAAATTTCCCGGAGTTACTTGTTTCCCCTGACTTCTCCAGCGTGGAGATGTATCTAGCTATAGTGATGAGCGTACGTCCATGCTTCAACTTCCTGAAATAAGTGGCACATCCCACTTTAAATGAACAGTCCATTATGTGCACGGAATTGAGGATAAGCAGGAGCGGTCCCTCATAAGACTGAGCAGCGCATAGTCATCAGCACAAAACTACAGTACGCATATCAGAGATAAAAGTTCTAAGTAATTTGGTCCGGCAGTCAACGACTAAACCCAGTATTTACAGTCCAAATCCCGGCAGATTGACCCACGACAAATGCAGACAGGTTCAAAGTGCACCCTCCTCTCTGTACCTCATATGTTCCAGATAGAATTTGTCACCAACACCCATAAGACACGAATGTTTATACTTCCTGAACTGTATTCGAAGAGAATGTCTACTTATTTCATTTGGGTAGCCAGATATATGTCAATATCATTATTTGGCGTCCATTGTCGTTAACAGCTTCTTTCTATCCGTTGGCTTGGTACGAGTAGACTCTCTCTTCTAACAAAACTGTTCTTTTCTGCATACTCCGGTGATTGATAGCCAGCCAGTCGAAGTGATCCCTGTGACTTCAATCTTCGTCCCTTGCACCCGTTACGGTGAAAATGGCGGTCATCAGTCGGTTGGTCAATGCTAGTTGGGAAGCCAAGCACAGCATCGCAAATCGCTTTCTTCGTCCCTTGTCTTATCTTGTACCTGGTTTCCAATCGACTGAAACGTTCCTTGGCACTTCTGACAACGTCTTATAAAACGTTCCGCAGGGGTTTCCGCATGGGTTCCGCGGTGGGGTTCCTACTAGTCACCGACTTGGTCGCGTGAAAGGTTTCGCTGTATTTTTCCTATGCCACCACTAATGTCAGAAGACGGTCGCCCTTCTTTTGCTTCCTGACACTTTTTTGGTTAACGGTTTCGTTCACAAAACTGTGAGTCCTGTTGTTTCTGATTATGTCTTTACTTGACGTTTCCGCTGATTTCGTTGTTTTCGGTCAATTCTGTGTCAGCTACTCATGGGGTCGCCTGGAAACATCCGTTTCCACTTGGCGTTATGGTCACACCTTGCAACAGCCCCCCCCCCCACTGTCCTCCCAGACCAAGACTACTTGTGTCATTGCATGGCTTCGGGTCGACCGGATTCTTTTTGTCTACTTATTACAATTAACTCTTTCGCCAACAGTCAGTCCTCAGCTTGCTGCGGACATAGTTGTCCGTTAAGTACATGCACCATTAACGCAGTTGGGGTTACATGGTTTCTGTTATATTCGCGCAGGCACGTCCATTGACAGTCGCGTGCGCTCACTAGACTGCAGAAGCAAACAACGTTATGTCAGGCTACGTACATCTCCTGGGTCTGCATATACAAGCCTGACGATTAACGGTTGTCGCTGTGAACTTATCGGTACCCAAAATGCTCTGAGCTGACGCGGAGACCTGCTGGCCTTGTCCACACACATCAGACGGTGATCCGGTACGTTTGTTAACTTTCCGACCTCATTACTGTTACATACAACCTCTGAAGTGGCCAAAGAATTTAGTAGTCACAGTAGTAAAGTACTCATGTCCGTTGTGTGACCGCCCTTTTAGGCGGTTATGGTATTTCGTCTAATTAATCAGGCGAATACCCATCTATGGGACGTTGGGAGTTCGGCTTCTTTATACGTGCGTTTATTGTACACAACTTCCCGACATCCTCGGCCTTGATCGGCTTCCGCCTCTCTTCGTCACACTTTGTACGCTCAATGCAGGTCCTCAGTTACGTTCGCCGGTCTACAGTGCCTCCCCTGACTGCAGTCCCCAGAAGCATTCGTTTTCGAGGTAGAGGAAAATTATGTGGCTTGCGCTGATACCATAGTATTTACAGATAAAAAATCCCCCATTGGGGTCTCTTAAATACAAGGGGATACGGTTACACTTCGTATATATAGCTGTACAGTTTTGTATTGAGCGTCCAAACAGTTATCGAAAATACAATTTTACCATACGCGCTATCGTACGTGCGAAGGCAGGTCGATATTTTTTTTTAGATAAAACAGGGTTATCCGTTGGTCATCCAAACGTGCGTTGCAGGTAGGGTTTTACATTGTTTTAGCATCCCTCGAGAACACACCATTTATCATATAAGAACATCCGGAGAACGCCGAAATTTTGCAGTTAGTTGAGTGTCGCTTTATTCGTTAGGACCAAAGGGTGTTTAGTGTAATGCGTCCACGTTTGTAAAGATAATCCGTTGTTTACGTAGGCTACAGAGTTTCGTATGCAAGCATGGTTATTTGCATTGCGCATAAACTATGACAACACGTCACCCCTTGATCCTCACCGAATGAATACACTGCCAGTGTATGGTATAGTACGTATCCATTCGATGATCATGCATGCGCTGGAGTCCCTCCGTACACCATTTGGCTGAAGCGTCTACCTAAACTTGCTGTTTGCAAAAAAATTAGTAACTTTGCTGTCCGTTATTTGCAGCTGTCCTTGTCATTACTCTAGACGGTAGGAAGAAATATGTAGTAGATCATCAGGCACTGCTAGGTAGTACGGTCAGGCTGTATGAAACACCGGAATACCGTGTCCGACTAAAGCGGAACAGAGACTATTGTCTCTGTTCATTAATTATCGCGATTGCCCCGTACGGAGAGCTGTTCTGCGATTGCAATTCGCGCACCTAAACATACACCCGTATTTGCGTGTACGCAATATCCGTTGGTTCATTTTATGCCCTCACAAACAGTTCATGGCTTTTGGTACCAGACTTCTGCTGGCAGTAGTTAAGTACCAGTAACAAGTTAACGACTAGTAATGATTTTCCTTTCATTTGTCACGATCAGTTTGTTGTTATTGTCCTGATGTGGCGTTCTCTCTGACTGAATAGATAGCGTTATAATGCGGATGACCTTCTTGTCTATTCATGGGTCATTAATTACAGAATTCGTTACCTGAGATTTTAAAATCACATGGCTGTGCGTATTCTTCCCGCGCGCTTCTTCTACTAAGCCCTTTAATTATGGGGGCTGTATTCGGCACTCGCTCACTACATCAAAACAAGCACTCGGCGCGAATACTTTCTTCTTCCTTTACGTAAATCGGAACTCTTCATGCCCTCCTTGAAAGGCCCCATCCGTAAATCCTTCCTACTACCACTATTTCCATCTTGCAGGTGGTCATACGCTAACCTTCAGGCGGTACGCAAATCCGTTTCCAACCTCAACAGCAAATGCGACCAGCACCTGGGTCAAGCCCTAGCTTCTCGCAGTCTAAGAAAACAGCATACCAATGCAGTGACAAAAAGAGCGAAACATCATAAGCTAAGCGCGCAACCAATAAGACATACGGGTGAAGTTAGGAATGAAAACAAGTAAAAGCAATTAAAAAAGAGTATTGCCCCCCAATCCCACTTTCTGACACACCACTGCACTATTAATTCGTGTTTTTTGTTCTACTACTTATCCCTCTTCTGCATTATGCCTGTTTTAGAGTTAAAGAAATTCCCATGGCAGCATTCAGAAGACCAGTTGGCGAGCATAAGTTTGTTTTCGATAAATTATCGTCAGGCCAGTATATTTATATGGCAACGGGGCAGAAGCAGAAAAATGTCAGTGATAAGAGAAATCGATTCAAGTTCGTTTTAAAACACAGGCGGGTGTGGAAATAAGGGGGATGGGGTGGGAGTAATAGCAGTCAATGTCATGGCGAAGTGAGAGCGGAAAGATATGGAGAGCTGTATGGTTAATCGGATTTTGACCACGGTAAGTGCAGAGCCTGAACGTGGTTATTCTGAGCGCACAAGATCGGTTTTCGTAACCTGATGGCGACCACTCCTGCTGTTGCTAACGGACGCTGGCCCGGTAGCTTAGGGTAGCTCAATGGAACCTCATAAATCACAAGATGCCCGAAATCAACATGTGCAAGAATGAGGCTATTTATGCTCCTATTTTGGCTTTTTCCCAGCCATGCCGGGAAGTGTTTTCGTATTCTCTTGGATGGGCGCCGACTCTTGCGACCAATGTAACCTGCTCCACAGGAGCAAGTGAAGGAGCAGCCTCACTCACTCTTCCCTTTCTCACCCACCAGTGAACCATTCGAGCATACGACTGGTAATGATGTTTGGTGCGATGCCTGGCACTGTGTCAAGTGCTCCGTCTGCTGGTGTCGCCCGCACTTATGGCGGTGCCTAAAGACTAACACAGACTTGGCGCAGTTCGAACAACGAATCTTACGAGCCACTGTTGGTTCTTTTCGGGTCGGCGCAACAAGTACGGAGATGGTAGCCAGAAGCCTTAATTACGTCCGCGACCACTGACCAAGTTGTGATTGGCGCCTTGTCATCGTATGGCTTAACGTGTCACTGTGTATCATTTCTACGGAAGCCCACATAAGTAGTCTTTGAACAAGCAGCATGAAACCAAGGATAAGAGATCCCAGTTTCGATTTTTCAGCCTTTGAGAGCTCTTCGAAAGATCGTGTTGTTTGCCAAACAGGGCACAATTGCCTTCTTCAGTAATACAGAGATTCCAAATGATTGTTGCCAAGCGTTGTCGTTAATAGAAAACTTGCAAGTCTACGTTTTTTGCGCACTTTTTTGGTGATACCAGCTCGCTAAACGAAATCTCTGGCAACTGTGTCCAATTCACGCGGCCTTTCCCATCCTGGCAACCATGTTAACGTAAGTCTTTCGGCACGACTTGCACCACTCCCTGCGTCCAAATCTTACAACACAAGGAGTGTAGTGTGATTTCAAGATGGGCATACCACGCAGATGACAATCAACACAGGTTGCCTGATAGCGAGTTTTTTCAAGAATTCAGTGTCAATATGGACTAACCGGACGCACAGGTTTCACAGATAGAACTAAACATTTCGTTGATGCTTTCAGAGACCACCAGACAAGAAGGATCTCTAATTAAGCCCTATCACTAACATCCCGCGTGCAGGAAAATCGTTATCGCTAGGTCTTTCGGTAGTGCTAAAAGTTAGTATGCGTCTGTGGTTAAAGTGGTCAGACGCCGAACAGATTTCCGTGTTTCAAATGGCCTAGAACAGATGAATGCTTAGGAATGGAGTCAGTGTTTTCGGTCAAATGTGGAGGACAGAACTGACCTAAATTTAGTGAAGTGTTTATCGCAACTATTAATTGAAAGATCAGCTCTACGTAGAAGGCTGCGACCATCTGCTCGGGGAAAACAGCTGCCGTCTATAATGCGTGGACTGGTGTCTTGTTTACACTAAATTTTATCGACATTCTCTTGATGTCCATCAATATGCGTTTTGGAGAAGTATTTAGTTGCAATAATCACTTTATTTGAATCGCTAATTAACCTACAGTCATTTAAAGCATTTTTCATAATAGGTAAGACAGGCAAAGATGAAGTAATGGGGGTCCGTAGAAATAGGAATAAACCCATCAATTCCAGGAGCTGTTGTAGTGACGCTCGTATCCTTCATACCTATAATGGCACAAAGAATAAATTAGGACTGACTGTAAAGCTCACCGATTTTTAAAAAACTGCAGTAAAAGCATCTATGCAAAACAATCTAGAAATCGGAAAAGCAGACAAATTTTGGTTAATTTCTTCGTAACTTATAGCATTCCCCACTGGCTTCATACAGCGTCTTGTATCACCTTTCTTCCCATATACCGTGACTGGTCAACGGTACGTGAATTAAGGACAACGGAGAACAAGACAAAATAGGTTAATTTTAATATTATTTCGAATTAGCCCTCTCACAAAATATGAGCAGTTATACTCAGATATGAAGCTGAGGATTTTTATGCAGCAGTGTTGTAGTGGACAGCCACAGTGGCAACGTTGCGCCTCTCGCTAGCGCCTGCATCTGCGTCCTAGCGACAGCCTGCTATGGCACGCACGTCTGCCCGGCTTCGATTTGTCTCGTTGCAATTCACTGTCTGCACCACACACCTGGTCGACACTCGGTCTGCACCATGCGAGGCTTCTCACTACCTTCGCGTCGGCTCGGAACCAATCAACGCACCTACTATCGCTGATTGATAAGACAGGCGTAAACAGCCCAGAACACTAGCGTAAACAATCTGTCACGACACTTTTGCAGCGGCCACCTTCGTCGACACACGGCTCGTCGCTCTCGCGGACGCCGCCTCCGCGGCGCCGGACGCATCCTCGTCCGGTTGCCACCTTCCTTTCATTATTCTGCACAGAACAAATAAATCATTTTCCTCATCAGCTGGCGTCCTGCCTCTAACAACTTGGGATATGGCCTGAAGTTGTGGCGTACTGAGCGTACACCATCACCGATTAGCCGCTACAGTGTCTACTTGTTTCGAATAAGTACACTAAAAGGGTTCGGATACTGATAATCACTTTGGACTCCAATAAACTATAAAAATGTGGAAACGGCTAATCAGTACTATTGGAAGTGAGCAAGGTTTGTTGAAACCGAAACCAGTACTGATCACTCACGGATTTGGTGTAACATGACCCAGTCCAGTCCTTCCACAGGCTCTAAAGACCTGTCAGCATAGATAGATTACACATTCTTGTAGAAGGGGAATTTGGAACAAAAGGGTGCTGTGAGGAGGTTGGGTGCAGATAAGCTTGGGAACAAAATACAATACTTCAATTTTCCACTATTAAGAAAGAGTTTAAATGAGTCTAAGCTTGTTGCATTGCCTCTTCCTGACACTTAAAGATAACGCCATCGTCATGGCTTATACTTGTGGTCCAAGTTCATATGCTTTCTGCACTTGCTTCTGCCAAACCGCCGCAGGCTCCTACATGTAAACTGTACTCTCAGACTTGACAAAAAGCAGTAAGGGGGGAAGGGATTCAGTCCGCAGCACGAAGGCTTCGTAAATATTCGGATCGATTAGGTAGTACTGGGAAGGACAGAGAAACTGAAAGGATGACTCAAAGTTTGCAGTACTTCAACTCCGGGCTAATCAAAGCCATAAGCACTGAGTCCGTTCTGCCATCAGAGGAATACGTTTTTTAGATTTACAGTAAGGATAAATAGTGAAAATGGGGAGTTCCAGTGGAAATGGATAGATAAATTTTATTTGAGTACCCGAGGGGGCACTTTCAACACAGGTGTATTTTCTACTTTAATAAGTTGAAAATCGAGGCTAATTAGTCATTGCTTTTCACAGTCCCGCAAGTAGCGCAAAGGCAGATAGGGAGTGCTAGACATGTTACAGCAGGCAAATATAATAACGGCGAAAGAAAAAAGTAACTCTTGTGAGAGCATGGGTCGATCAAATCACAATGCCGTCTCATCGGTTTAAGCAAAAAAACATGCAAAAACGCCCCGGCAAGTTGTTTTTGGAAAGTTTTATTCCAGGTCACCCGTTTTCTAAACTGCAAACACTGGAGTATGCCTTTTCGGCGCCAAATGCTGTGTTTGAAGTATCTCACCGGAGGCAATTCGAAATAGCCTATACTACCATGTACTCAAGACAAACCTAGAATTTCTAGTCCATTAAATACATCAAGCCTTTAGCATATTTTCAGCGTGATTGATGAGTGCATAGATTTGTGCGAGTCTTGTCACGAAGCTTCCTTCAAGGATTTGGAAAGACTTCCGTTTTAGGAGACCGACCGCTTCTAGCCCTACAGGAATGTCTTACTTTAAAAGGTTTCAACACGTTTCAGGGTAACTTTTTATTATTAAGCAACCTTTGGGGCTGAATTTCTTAAATTTTTTAGTCAGGAAAGTAAACTGCTTTGCGAATTTAAGGGCATTCTGATTAGAATTCCGTGTCCTAGGAAATCAGGATGACAAACGTCGGCGCTCAGTTCCTCAGGCACCTGGTTCAGAATATCCTGAAGTCTGTGGCAAATCATATATACTTTATGCGCGTAAGAAGCTCGCGCCAAGTTATCAAACGTTAAAAGCGAATGAGTGATTGTTATTTCGCCATCAACTTTGATGGCTTTCGCTTTCTATAACGAGTTTTAATACCAAAATCTGGGATTATGCGCACGGGGAAGTCAGTAGCAAATTTTTGAATATTAAACTTATAGTAAGGAGACACAGTGATAGTAGAGAGCTCCAGTAGAAGTAATTCGGTATATTTAGTTCAGTATATTTAAGAGTAAAAGGCAATGCCTTTGAAGACCCTAGATCGACGGTTTTGGTGTGAGTGCCCGGAAGGGCACTTCATCACACGTTTATTCTCTACTTTAATAAGTTGAAAATTAAAGCTAGTCGTTTACTGCTTTTTAGACATTTCCAGCAGTTTGGCAAGTGGAATTACTGTAAATATATATCAAGGGGACGTTAGGCATGATACAGCAAGCAGATATAATAACGACGAAAGGAAAGAATGAACTTTGTGAAAACATAAGTCGAGCATATCACAGTGCAGTCTTATTTTCTAAGTGCAGGACCGCCTTAAAAATTTGAGGATGATGACAGTCCGGTCAGAATACCGTTTTTCGAGTAATCAGGTTGACTGCCGTCTGCAGCCCGTTACTCAGTGGCATATATAGCTGAGGTCAATGTAGAGTATGGGTTCTTAGGCGCGTTGGTCCGGAATATCCCTATTCATCAAAGCGCACCGCATGTGTCTAGGTGCTTCGGATTCCTTAGTTCTGCGCTAACATCACCTATCCTTTGAAGTGAACCGTCACCGCGCAAGATAAAACGCAACTGGGAAGTGTCCATTCAGTGTCACCCAATGACTATTATAGTTTAGGCCTGCTAGATACTAAATCGCCAGTTATCAGAATCAGAATAACACTCCTGCTAATTATTAAATAAGTAACCTTTGATTGGATACTGTTGGCGAACGAATCACCACATTGCCAACCCAACGGCATTAAACGCTGTGAGATAACACTTGTTTCCAGAGATGGAAGGCGATCCTTTTTACAGCTCCAGATCGTAAATACCAACTCACAAAAGACTAAAGTGAGACTCAAAGTCAGACAGATAAATATACCTTCCATTGAGGAAATAGGTCAGCATGTGCCCACTCTGACAAAGCGGAAGCAGGATGCACACGTTAGGTGTGTTAACGACGGTAACGTTAGTCGCCAAGACTGCGAGTGAAAGGGTCGGGCGAAGGAAGTAAATTTTAAAAACCACTATTCCACGTACATTTGTTTATGCAGCAATTGAGAATCTTTAATGTGGCTATGCAAAACCTCCTTCGTTGTTTAGAGTGGGGCGTTTTACTTGAATCGAAAAGCTCATGAATTGGAGGGTGAAGGCAGACACAAACTCACTGTGCAAAGTGTTTTCGGAGTGTTCTGCGACTGCAGGAATTCAAATATGCTTTCATAGTTCTCGTAAAGCACATCCGCACACTTGAGGAAAAAGATGAGCAAGGTTAGTGCTCGTAACGCAACTGAGCCAACTTTGATAGAGATATGACAAAATGGAGCATGGCAAGCCGTATAAGATTCCACCTCCCCACATAAATATCCATAATGAAACTGTGAGACCAAAAGTTACTCCTGGAATGGACAAATTAATCAGGCTCTGGTGAGCCGTTTTCCTGTTTATGACAGAGCGGAAAACCACAGAGAAATTTCCGAAGTGGGCAGAAGTGGTTCTCCAGATGATGACTCTGCTCCGTCGCCATAACAGTAACAATGAAACTCGAATAAGTATGCTACGAAAGCAGACCTAAATAATCAATTAACAACAAAGATGTATAATGCGATTTCCATCACAAATGTTTTCTACATTTTATTTGATATTTCGAGCGCCATGCGTGATGAGGGCTACCGCAGGCTTGAGAATGACAGTTTTAACTAGGGAGGGGGTCATGAGGGGAATTCCTGGGCAACCTCGAACTCACTCTGTGTTCATCATGTTGTGATGGAAGGTCTAGGTCAGTATGACTGAAAGTGGGTATGGGCGCATTGTCTGACCTCGCATAAAACCTGAGTCTGCTCATGTCATGAAAACGTCGGTTGTGTTTGCTCAAAAACTGTCGGGTACGTAGTTTATTTTACGCCCGTTTAGAAGTTTAAAAATGCCGTGTAGAAAGCAGGTGCAAAAAAATCCCTCTCGTATTCATTTTGCAATAAACTATGTCTTCACTAAATGTTCTTCTAGAGAAAGTGGTGACATTCGGCCTTAAAATTCTGTAATTTTAGGACTTTTTGGAATCGCAAAATGTCTATTCAATTAGCATCACAACTGTTTATTATTAATGCTGAATATGAGATATGCGACGTGAGTTATATCCATTGCAAAATTTTATGGACCCTTTTTGCTATCTTCTTAATTATGTAGAAAGGTGTGTTATTTTACTTAATGGAAAAGTATGCAACTTGTACCCTGCACATCTTGGCGTGGCCGGAAAATTTTGGGATCATACATCAGAATACTAACTATTACAATTTTAAATAAGTCACCTTTTTAACTAAAATGATCGTTCACTGTGGCAGTTCACTGTAGGTAGATGAGTTTTCATGCGAAATTTGTATAGAAAATATTGTGTATGTGGACTTAATGCAGTAAATTTAATTGTCTTAATGAAAGCATAAACCAGCAGTGGATAGAGACACACTGCTGGACGAGCTTGTTTAAATAAACAGCTTGAAATACGCCAAATCAAAAGTCAGCATGCTACCATGTCCAAATAAGTACCGGACTGTGTCCTGTTTTAATCACTATTGCAATCGCATGTACATATATTTTGCGCACATTATATATTGTGCGTGCGTTTTACCATCTAAAATGCCAGGTTGATGGTCTCGATTAGTACGCCATGGATTGGGAAACATCTTACCAGTCAGCTCTGGACTCGTGACTTCTGTAAGTGCATGGAAGATTTCACAAAGATTCGACTTCAAAACCCACATATACGTCTTTTGTCGATAGCGGGATGTGGTATTATGACCCCTGCTCCATTTTGAAACCTCATTAGACGTGGACCTAATATCTATGGACTAAGATCACATCTGTTCTTGTTATATGGTTTAGAACACTGAACAGCTAGTATCTCGAGAGAACGGAAGATATAAAACAGCTTACCGGTCAAACATGCTAAAACTGGAATGTTTTAAACAACTTACGTCCTTCCTGAGGTGGTTTGCCCCCTCAGGGAGTATAAAACATAGTCGGGAAGCGACGACTTTCGCATTTCCTTCGGAGACTCTGTTGATCATCTCAGTTACCAGCAATTCGATTGTCTTCTCACACAGGTGGCATACTATGTAAAAGGGAAAGTAAGTTAGTCCAAATTCACTCTATTTAAGTGAATGGAATGGTAATGTCCCGAAGGTAAGTAATGGAAGAATGGCCTGTCTCTGGTTGAAAGGACTATTAATTATAGTGCACATATGCATTCTGCGACAATCAGGTGCGAAACGAGCTTATGTTTTTGGGAGGCCAGTTTTCTGACCTACAGTACAGTGCCGTCATATGGTTTAAGCAGTAACTGACGCCTTTACTTGATTCATTGTAAGTGTCTGCAACGCAGACCTAATCATCCTTTGGTTATTGCCAAATATCAGGGTGAAATCAATATAACTTGAACAGTTACTACTGAACAACTGTGAAGGTGTACCAGCTCATTTTAGGTCACATGCCTGAGTGAGGATAAATATACTTGAGAAACACTCCTCTTCAATCTTGCACTTGGTGCTGTGGAGCACTGACACCTGACTAATATGTCCTTATTTTGATCTCCGTATCTACTTGTTGTCTTCTCACCTTCCTATCTCAAAGCAGGAAATTTCCCTCACGTTGTATGGTGTTTAATAATACTTTCGTGCTCAGACTCCATACTTGCTTTTATAAATACTCTCTTAGATCGGCAGAGTCAGTCTTTGATACTTTTCCTGAAACTTCGCCGATTTGGCGATTTCGTACACCAATTCAGACCATACCCCGTTCTGCCAGGAACAGTGGACTGAATTGTCGGGAAAGAAGTCAAATTCCTACATTATGCGGTTTCTTGAATTTTTAACCGAACCTATAGGAGCGCTTAGAAGATACCGATTTTCAATGAAATGGATGCCTCTTTACTGTTCATCTTCTATGCCGTAAAACTACCTAAGAGTGAATTATATGCAGGCTACGCTTCCCATTAGTGTAAAAGCCAGTGCGCATCACTTTGCTGTACAAGTAAGCGATGGGGGAAATCTTCTCCGTCCCACGAAATAAATGCGGTGCTGAATGTGGATGTTGCGAAATGTTTATCATCGAGGGTCCTTACAATCGAAGATACATTTCCAGATCTCGCATTTTCGTGAAAGAATATATGAGCCAAATCGTAAAATACTAGAGTTACCTCTGAAGGCTTAGCTACACCGTGCTCAATGGGACCCACGAATGCACTTTCTAAACTCTAAAGGACCCACGGATAAAGTTTTATTCCTCGTTTTTCTGAAAAGTCACAGTACCATTTATTCTGCGGACGTCAAGTTTGAACGCCAAAGTTGTAACTTCCAGCGAAACGGACAGGGTTGTTTGAATGGACTGAGGTCACAGTTAGCGCAAATCCCGGATGGGAATGGCGTGATGGCGTGTCAGCGAAGATGGCCGGTGTCCCCTCCCTGCCTACCGTTGACATATCTTCCCGCTACAGCTCGTCATTCGTCGCTTGTACCCTCTGCCTTCAACACACTCCACAACACTTCCCTGAAGTTGTCGAATGCGTTGTAAGCCACACCGGTGTCTAAGCGGTGTGATGGGACCCATGGATATGGTTGGAGTTAGAACTTACTCCAAACGATAGCCGAAATGTTTAAAGACCAACCTATGTCTGCATAGCATTTATTCCCCAATTCCGAACTAGAGGTACAGTAAAAAATGAGTCTAACCTTTCGACATGTCAAAGAGTGTGGACTTTGTCCACTGGGGTACCATACACTAACTTAATTTTCCGACAATTGTGTCATCGTCTTAGTCTAATTGATAACTGCCTTTAGAAAACTGGACCATTCATACTCCAGGAGATTCCGTTCCCTTTGCAGAAGAAAACGGCGGGTTCGCATTATTGTTAAAATTCGGGCGCCTGTTTCGCTGAACATTAAGGCCGGACTTCTGAACTGTCCAAGTAAATGTCGGTTATTGTCAGGTAGGCATCAGCAAACGGACAAATGCTTTCATAATTGGGATGTTTATGGCATTCGTAGCAGACGTTTGGGCTTTTGTTACTAATTTTCGTTTAATGGCAGTCGCGAAATAATTTGAGCTTTTGTATTCGTCTCAAGAAGAATTTCAAACAGTCAATTACCCAGCTAATAGCCAACTTACATGGCAGAAACTGCCCTCACGTAAACGCCTTCAGTACACAGATAATAAAATTACTTACCAAACCCTTCTCCATCGTTCCGCAGGACAGGCATTTTAGGACAACTTCCAATTATCTAGGACAAAAATAACGATGTTTTACAACTAAACGTTTGACTGCAGCAGATTCTAGTGAACTAGACACAGAGGGCAGCGTATGCAGACACATCTTATTCGATGAAACCAAAGAGCCTTGAAACTGTTAACAACGAACTATCAAAATGCCATAATTTAAGGGGTCCATGGAAAATCTCAGCTTGTACAAGCGCCTGTCGGGATTACCGACAAGTGATCAAAGGCGCTTAAGTAGATAAATAAAATCTTCAACAGAGCGCTTTACACCAGATCATATAATGCGTATGCATTCGTAATCACAAGTCCAAAATCGCACCATGAATCCATCAATTAAAAAGTGCACAATACGTTTAACCCTAGACTAAATAACTGTGAGGGTATACTGCCTGGGAAAACAACCAGTACCTAGTTTACTTACTTGACAAACTTCTACTGCATGGGCTTGAATACGGGCGTTGTTGGTAAACATTTGCAGATGATTCAACAGCATCTCCGTGCACTGGAACGAAGTAAGTAAAGATAATCGTTAATAATATGACATGGGGGGAATTTATATGAGCAAACACATACATAGGACGGGGGCTTACTCACGTTAATGTTTTTAGACCCTTTACAAAGTATGCCGAGTCCCCTTCTGATCGAGGGTTCAAACATGGGTGAGTCCATTAAACCAGCGACCGTTTGCACATGGTTGACACATCGGTCACAGTCTAAAAATCAACATCCATTTCTGTTGCGGTAAAACAATTTTGAAGATTCCAAGCTAAATAAAAAGAGTCTGTGCCTTCTGTAGATCTCCAAGAGCACAAGTAGACTCCTTAGTAATATCGAAAAAAATTTCCAAAATATCCGTTTCCAGGAAACTACTTCCTGGTGGCCATGAAAAACACATGGCCACCAAAAGAAGTTCCCTTTCGGCACAAAATATTAAGCGGGCTTCATCCTAGATTTGTGTTTACGGCTAAAATTATTTTAGTGTTCGGGGCGTCTTAAATCATTTTATTCAAGGTAGAATGCGCATTACTTTGAACTTACACATCTGTTCGTCTTCGTTCCATTTTCGTTTCTAGAGGTGTGGAACGTAAATAACGTATTTGTAATCTTATAAAGAACAACACACTTCTCGAACGGAAAAAAACGAAAGATCACAGAATGCGAGAATTCCTCTAAAGCTACCTTACGTGAATTCGATCGAAATTCAAAAGATTCAAGTAAACATTGAATATTGTCAGAGACACTAGAAACGATATTTTAAGCCTAAGGAAGTTCGCTGAAACCACAACTGACTGCAGTGCCATTGATCCGTCAAAAATTTTGGGCACCAAGCATTTTAAAGGGAGCTTACATATTCCTGGACTACTGACGCACTGGAGGACAATGCGAGAAGGGTCACGAACGCCAAAACTGGTGCAACCATGTCGGCTCCTAATTTCAGTTTAACTGGGCCAAGAATCTCCGCCGTAACTTAGGAAATTTTAACACGCTTGCTGATACTCTGACTTTTAAAGCCTCAACTCTGAAGGTTGCAAGTTCTTATTGGCCAAGTCAACCCAGCGCGCTTAGAGCCTCGCCAGCCACAAGTTTGCAAGAACTGGGGCAAAAGACCAAGCTATTCAAGTGCGAATCATTTTTACGTCATCCAAGTGAGAGAGGGATTTCTATTTTCAGGCCTTTTTAGGAAATGAACTTTTCGAGATAACATGATTGCAAATTGTCTCGAATACAGGCGATTTTCTTAGCTTACATATAAAAGCTAAGGTAAGAAGCGTTTTCTGAGTATTCCAGTGGGTATGCAATTTTCAAAAAATCACTGTTAGCTTGGGGGGGGGTGCATGGTCCCGGTATAAAATGTGCGCTGGTACGGAAAAGTCCGTCCGCAGCTTCCAACTCCCTGCCAGGGAAACGCCGTCCTAAAATCGCCAAGCTGATTGCCACGTTGCCTGGAGATCTTTTTATCCCGCGTACAATTCGCTCCTGTGTATCCAACTTTCGAAGTTAGGGCCTGGTTATCGCTCACGATGATTAGGCAGATTCATTTGAGTGGGGAATGCTTCTTGAAATTCCCTTGGTATATACGTTCCAATACCTCTCTAGCTCGTTCTCATATTTTCTTCACTGACATTAGATAGACGACCGGACCTCATTAACCTCCGTCGTGCGGTTATCTGCAATTTCGTGCCGCGCTGTTGGATTGTGCCTCAGAAAAAGTTCCTTAGCAGATGCCCATATATCGTCCCAAAACATCAGTACTTAAATTAAAAAAACCTTTAATTCGTTAATAAAGTCTCAAGCAAAATTTGCCCAAACTTGCATGCAGCACTCTTTTGGATATGGAATCCTGGTGTCAGGACATATCAAGAATGCTCCATTTTGTCGTGAGAATTCCATTGAGAAGTCTTTCAGACTGTTGCATAGTGACGACAGATTACTTTTCTGATCGTCCTACCAACATGGACAAGGGAGACGGCAACGGCCGCTTTTATCCTAATTGGCCTTATCTGTAAGTAGAAAGTGAGTCAACTGTTCTGTCGGTCGGCGTACGGGTCCATGCTTTGTCGGATGCGGTAGCGCGACAATTGCTTTCAGTCAGTTGGTCGTATCATAGAATGTAAAACAGACGTTGCACTCTGCCTTGGAGCTCCGGTCTGAGGCTCAATGTATGGTTGGCCGATAAGGATAAACAAGCCAGGAAGGAAACCTCCACTTCCTCTTGACTGTTCAGTTCATTTTGCGAAACAGAATGAACTAGGAGACGTTTCTGACGACAGATGACGGCAAGTCTATTTAGAAGCATTCGTTCTAGTCGGTACCTTCTTATGAAATCATGGTAATTGTGTGCTAAGCCTGCTTAATCCAAGTAAACCACACAGGATTAGGAAAGCGAATGCATCCACCCGTCGGCCAAAACTCAACTACGGCCCCATGGCCCTGAGATCCGATGTCGGTTTAGTAACTTCTAAGTAAGGGGAAGTTCAATCTCTAATTATTTGGTTGAACACCCCCCTCCCCCCTGCTTCCTCGAGGTGCGGAAGCCAAGCTCCATTATCGACTCTCGCAACGCATATTCCTAATTATAAACAATCCGATGCGCTTGAATGTATCAGCATGCGCCAAAAGTCATGGCTTGGAAGGCTGAAAACTGGCGGAACAAATCGGTCCTTCGTCCAGGAAGGAAAGTCAGGTTGCAATGGCTCCTTCTTACCGTCGTCTTTATGACACTCCCACTCGCTTTGGAATCGGTTCGTTCCCCTCGTTTCTTGTTATGTAAAATCTCAGTCAGTGCACGTTCTGGACCAGCGAATGTGGTGGTACATTTTTTCGAGGGTTCACCGCGTGCCAGCGGCCCACGCCCGATACCACTTCCGGTTTTCTTGATCCTATAATTAAAATAGATTCAAGTGGCAGGGGGGGGAAGAGTGTGGTAGGTGCTGCGAAAGTACGCAATATTTATATTACTATCTCGTGTAAAAGTCACCGCTCTTGTGCCTACCCTGCTGTGGGGCACACGGTAGACAGCGTGGGAAATGACGGTCAAACTGCCAAGACTGCAGTTGACTCACTCAATCCACAAAGGGGTTAACCATTCCAGTAACGCCCGCACTTCTGAATCTGCCGCCTCAAGAATTCGCGTACTTTTCCTTGAAAGGGAAAGTCTAAACTCTAATTATTTGGTTGAAGACCCCTCCCCAGCTCCCTCAAGGTGCGGAAGTCGAGCTCGAGTATTAGACGGATTTACTGGAGGTAGTTTGTGCGCCGGAATCGTACGCTTCTACTTCTGCCGGAGACCTGTCACACTTGGGGTTTCGTCTGTCGTTATCCACGAGGAGTGTAATTGTCTCAGGGCCACAACTATGTCTTAACAAGAGTTTGTTCCTCCACAGAGGGTGATTTGTGCAGCATCTAACTAGCTGTTCTCACATCCGCCATGTTTTAATAAAAATACATCGTCAAGCCGGCTGAGAATGGACGTACACACTTTAACCGTCCAGGTTCATTGGCCCATTCACTCGTGCCGTACACGTACTGGTTCCTGTAAGCACATGAATCAAAACTTCAAAAAGGTAGATCTTCGTCCCGATCGGGAGGAAGTGCTACAAAGGTCATAAGAAACGGTGACTTCCTCCGGATCCTCGGTTTAAAGCGGAATAGAGTTTTACCACCACTTAATAAACTATCCAGTCACTAGTTTTGGTGTGTTCTAACAGTTTATAAAAGGCGTTGTTTCTATTTTATTAGGGATGAACTGCGCTCGACCCGCGCTAAATCGGCCTCGTTCCACCGCTTTCCTCTGATTCACGCGGATTGACCGTAAGGTCACATACAGTGATTTTTTTAGGTAGTCTCCGTATAAAGTGTTGGCTGGCTTGATGAACTTCGTGTTCATGTATAATGCAACGAGCGTTTAAACTGTTCGCTCATATTACCAAGGCGAGGAACAAGTTTGGCATAGTATGTTGACCGAATTACTCCCGGTACTGTTAGCGATTTGCTTTTGACTTCAAATAGAGAACATAATTTCGGCTAACGAGGTTTCTAATAGAGGTAATTTCAGTACGTTAGGAGATAGCTCATTTTTCCTTTTGTGAAATCATTGTGTGTTGCGTGGGGGACAAGTACTGTGTATGGCACGCGCAGCCAGGCTTTCTAGCATCGTCAGCCACTGGTCTCGGTTCCTGCATCAGATGACTGACTGACCCGATCATATGGTCACTGTTCAAAAGGGGAAAGTAAGAGTGACATCGACGCTCGCAGCACTTATAAAAAAAACAATCTGACGCGCTTGAATGTATCAGCATGTGCCAGAAGCCATGACTCGGAAGACTGGCGAAATCGGTGTTTCGCTCAGGAAGGAGAGTCAGGTTGCAATGGCTCCTTCTTACCGTCGCCTTTATGGCACTCCCACGTAGTTGGAAACCCCCTCTTTTCTTGTTGTGCGAAAACCTGGTCATTGCACGTTGTGGACTGGAGGATGTGGTGGCTCGCCCAGGCGCAGCGATCCATGCCGTGCCAGTAACCTGCGTCCTCCCCCCGCCCCCGGTCTTCTTGACTCCGTCTTGACAGTAGGTCTAGGTGAGTGAGAGAAGGGAGATTGTGGTAGATACTGTGCAAGTTTACTATACTAGCTGAGGAGCAAGTTACCGTCCCTGTGGCCACTGTGCAACACATTGTGGAGATCATCAGAAACGGCAGTCGAATTGTAATAACTGCGGCTGAATCATTCAATGCAGGAAGGGCTTAAGCATCCAAGTAATGCCCGCTCTTCTAAATCTGTGGCCCCATGGATTCGCGCAGTTTTCCCTTAAAACTTGTAGCATTTAATGCCTTTCAGAAAATGCTCTCACGAGAAATCAGCGTCTTGAAGAAGTCGCAGGCGGGCATAATTTATTGTGAACGCCATTTTATTGTATATACTTTTTGACGCGGTACCGTATATGTTTACTTTCACCTCTATAATTTTAAAGGGTTATAGAAATTAAAACATCAATTCCTAAATGGACTCGAAGTGTTTTGGGGAAATATTAACAAAAGGTTGCTAACTCATGAAATGTTAGCAGAAATTGTGGATTGCGTTTTCGATTCAAAAAGACTACCTAGGCAGGGTCGTAGTGTTAATCACCATGCTGTATAATCTCAAAAAATTCGGTTATCAGAGACTGCCAGCCTTTGAACGAACTTCTTTCCAGCCGTCTGCAAAAACTACACTGTGTAAAAATGAACATTTAAGTAGTACGGATTTTTCTCATTTATTTTCTATATCCTTATAAGTTCCAATATGATTCATAGAAAACATACATCGAAATATTCATTCCTTTACTCATTTTTAGGGTGATTGCGTCTTCAAATTTTATACTTGAAGGAAGGGTGTAATTTGGTTATAAAAAAGTTTTTAATTATGAGATTTTTTAAGACCGTGAAATGCCCGTTCATAAAACATCGTGTCTCTGCATTCGCTAATGCCGATGATAAATTTTACAATATGCCTCAAATCCACTGCTAAATTTGATGAACACCATATGATCTCCTCTTAATAGCGTACAA